ATATATATATATATATATATATATATATATATATATATATATATATATATATATATATATATATATATATATATATATATATATATATATACTGGTTGTGGCTGGAAGGGCATCTGCTGCGTCCTCTGCGTAAAACATACGATGCTGGTTTAGTTGGTGGTTCATTCGGCTGTGGTGACCCCTGATAAATAAGCGACTAAGCCCAAGGAAAATGAATGAATTAATAAATGGCTGCTGGAGCCCATTAACTTCCATAGTAGTTAAAAAATGTGCTGAACAATACAATATAAAATGTTTATTGTTTTTTTTTTTTTTTTTCGATTAATCACATTCCTTTTTAAAAAAAACTGAGCAATAAAATTAATAGTAATGTATTGTACACTTTTATTTGAAAAGTTCGGGCATATGAAAAAAACAAACCAGCTTTTATTTTTGTATAGCAGTATCCCTTTTACTTCATTCATTAAATGTATTTTCAGCTTAATCCCTTTATTAATCAGGGTTCGCCACAGCTGAATGAACCACCAACTTATATAGCATGTGTTTTACGCAGCGGATGCCCTTCCAGCTGCAACCCAGTGCTGGGAAACACCCATACACTCCCATTTAAACACATACACTACAGACAATTTAGCATACCCAATTCACCTATAGCGCATATTTTTGCACTTGTTGTGGATACCACAGCACCCGGAGGAAATCCATGCAAACACGGGGAGAACATACAAACGGACATGCAAAGAATTTTGTCGATGTCCAAATATTTATGAAACTAACTGTAAAAAAATACTACAGTTTCTAAGATTTGTAAAAAAAAAAAAAAAAACATGAATAAACTAGAGCAAGTATCACAGTGTTCCTCATTTGATGTGAATCCAGCATTAGGCCAATTAGAAAAGCTCTCATTGGTTGAGACGTGTGATGACGCACATCCTAAACTAATGTTCAACATCCTTCGATCTCTTGTCTGTGTGTATTCTGAGTAAGTGAGCCTCATTTTTGAGTGCATCCCTCAAAAAAGAGGCATAAACAAACCAACTAATCACTATTTCTGTTTATAATTGGCTAATTTAGCTCCCGCTGTGCTTTTATCAATTTGCCCAGTTTTGCCAAGTCCATATCTTGATTTCCTTGTCATGCTATTATTTAAAACATTATTGCTTCCTTGCGCGCACTGATAGTGAAAAGGCTAAGTAACAGACTGAATACTGAACACTAGCCTCCGGCGCTGTGACTTTCTTCTTTACGAGAAGAAGGTGGGAATGTTAAGTGCAGGTAATTATTCTCATTGGGAAATGCTTGAAGTCGGGCCGGGCGCTGCCGAAAGAAATAGCAGGACAGGGAAAAGCAGGTCATCATAATTAATATCACTCCGAAGCAAAACCCACCGAGAATAACCTGCAGTTTAGCAACTTTGCCTACCCTTACTTTTGCAGAGCGATAAGCAGATGTTTAGCTTCAGCGTCGGGCTGGAAAATCTGTCAGCTGGTTGTTTGTCATGACATCGGCATTTTCTTAATAGCGTGCACACTGAAACGTGATAAAGGAACATGCTGCGGACCAAAGAGCCAATCACAGGAGAGCAGGTTTGATTCTGAGTGCAAAAGGATTGTATAAAAAAATGCTTGTCAACTATGTTTGTATTTTAGCCAATCTTGAGTGTGTGTAGAAGCGAGAGAGAGAGAGAGTCAGTTTTCAAACTTTCCATTGCAGCGTTCAGTGGTTTGTGTCCTGAGAGAGCTCTGTTTGTCCATCATCTCTGTTTGTTTGGTTTGAGTCTCTGTGTATTTGAGATGAGCAAGTGGGCTCAAGAATAAACTCAAACTTTAGAACGCTTGCCCAAGAAAAGTATTTTGCTGTATCATTTTAAACAGTGTGTGTACGTGTGTGTTTGTTTTATATGCATGTTTTCGAAGGTTTTGAATTATTTTTTTGTCTAAGGCTCTATTTTATTAGCAGTTTAGACATGAAAATTACGTTATTATTAAAATTATTAAAATGAGCAATATTTCCTATAATATTTTTTCCTCTGGAAAAAGTCTTATTTGTTTTATTTCGGCTACAATAAAAGCAGTTTTAATTTTTTATTATTATATTATATTATTTTATTTTATCAATATTGTTAGCCCCCTTTTTCATTTACGATATTATTAAAATTATTAAAATGAGCAATATTTCCTATAATATTTTTTCCTCTGGAAAAAGTCTTATTTGTTTTATTTCGGCTACAATAAAAGCAGTTTTAATTTTTTTATTATTATATTATATTATTTTATTTTATCAATATTATTAGCCCCCTTTTTCATTTTTTTTCTCAATTGTCTTCAGAACAAACCACTGTTATACAGTGACCTTTCTATTTAACCTAATTAAGCCTTTAAATTTGACTTTAAGCTGAATACTAGCATTTAAAAAAAAAGTCTTGTCAAGTAAAGTAAATCAGTTATTAGAGATGAGTTATTAAAACTTTTATGTTTAGAAATGTGTTTAAAAAAATCTTCTCCCTGTTAAACAGAAATGGGGGGGGGTAAATATACAAGTAGGCTAATGATTCTTCAACTTTATGGAAATTTTTCAGCCTAAAAATATTATATAGTCAGTTAATGATGCATCTTATCTCTGTGCAGGATCCGAACTGATGCCTAAAGCTCTCTCGACCCGAATCATCGGAGGAATCTGGTGGTTCTTCACCCTCATCATCATCTCCTCCTACACAGCCAACCTGGCAGCCTTCCTCACCGTGGAGAGGATGGATTCGCCCGTGGACTCGGCCGATGACCTGGCCAAACAGACCAAAATAGAGTACGGCGTAGTCAAAGACGGAGCAACCATGTCCTTCTTTAAGGTAAGTGCTCAAGATTTTATGAAGGTCTGTAATTCTGACACGGTTCACCGAGGTTACATTCACTATTTATGATGTATTTGACATTATTTATTCCTTGAAGCTTGAAGCGTGGCTTTTTTGTCACCAGAACAAGTGCAGAATGTTAAAACAGAAGATTTTTGTTTTGAAAGACAGCTTCAGCTAACTTTTCAAAAAAGACTAACTTTTATATTCTAGAGTAGTGCATAGAGAAAGAGAGAGAGAGAGAGAGAGAGAGAGAGAGAGAGAGAGAGAGAGAGAGAGAAAGAAAGAGAAATCAATACAATTCCACAAAAGAATTTTTTAAGCTTTTCCAGTTAGATCTTAATTCCCACTGTAAAAGCAAATTCTCCCGTGCTCTCACTTCTCCTCCATGTTTGAAGTCTTCTTCATAATGATTTTTTTTTTATATATGTGTATTCCAAAGTTTCAACTTTTGCCTGCAGGGTTTTACTTTTTTTCAAGGCTTTGAGTTTTCACTCTCAGATTCTGAGCGCTGGAAGATAGAGCAGGATTTTGACTGACATAAAATGAAGGGGTCTTTAAAGCAGTTACTGAATATTCATAGCTTCTTGTAAAATATAAGCTTTTTAACTGCTGATGCTGTCTTTTTTTTATACATTTGTTCTATAAATTACAGCACATGTTAACCTTTTTGCTTTGTTTTGTTTGTTTCAAAAGGGGCTACACAGTATGTGAGAATTTCCCTTTATTAGTCATAAAGTGTTGCCAACGTTAGAGCAGCTTATAATCAGACTTAAGGTCACCCTTTATTTTGATGGTTTAGTTGTTAAATTTAAGTTACATTGCATCTTCATGATAACTAGTTTTCATTAGATTATAAGTAGACTGTTTGATTGGGGTTAGGGTAAGTTTTTTTATAGTCAAAACGACGAATCACCTTCAGATTTTTCCCTCACTGCTGAAATAATCTGTCATTGATGGAAAATATTTGGTTAACGCGACCTCTGATGTATGTATGTATGTATGTATATATATATATATATATATATATATATATATATATATATATATATATATATATATATATATATATATATATTAGGGCTGTCAAAATTAGCGCGTTAACGCACGTAATTAATGCACAAATATTTCCATATTGCTCTCATCAGATGCTTTCTGAACGGCTTTTTTCTCATGATAGCTACCTATTTGTTTGTATATTTCGAGGAGCACATATTTAAATATCTATATGTTGCTCTCACCAAAATGGACGGTGAATGTATGTTACCTCTTTGTTGCTGTAAATGTATTTAGAATTGTCTACATCGTTCTACAGTATTTTAAAAAAGAAATTGATTACCACTGGTGTGGTTAAAAAAACATTTCTCAAATCTACCTTCAGTCCTTTTAAATTTCTGTTTTTTTTTTAGACGTATGCATTTTAACGAATAAGAGATTTAATGAAGAAGACTTTGACATTTAGTCCACATTGTTCATCTGATTGTGCATCCTATTCCATCTGAAGTATATGATTGCAGCATTAGAAATGAAGATTGCGAAAACAGGTGCTCGCAATTAAAATATCAAGCTGTCACTGGCTGAGCACCTTCAGATCCGCGTGTTTTCTCAATCTTCAGCTGTGGTATTTCAGCGAGAGGACCTGGAACGGCAAATGTTAATTTAACATTTTATCAGGAGTAATCAAAGAGCACTCGCACTTGTTCATTTTCTTGGGTCACTTTAAATGTTTCACGGAATTGAGCCAACAATTATCCACGATTAGCTACGGTTTCTGACGTGACCTCCTTTAAAAACCATGAAATGCCATTTAAACTGAGCGCTAATCGTGATGTTAAAGTTTCATTATCCTGAGACAGCAAACCACACACACACACGCACACTCATACACAGAATTGGTTCCACTTCTGAATCAGAATAAAATTTCGTTATGAGAACGTTCAATAGTCAGAATCATTAGCCCTCCTGAATTATTATATCCCCTGTATATTTTTTCCCCAATTTCTGTTTAACGGAAAGAAGATTTATCAGCACATTTCTAAGCATGATAGTTTTAATAACTCATCTTTAATTACTGATTTTTTTTTTGTATCTTTGTCATGATGACAGTAAATAATATTTGACTAGATATTTTTCAAGATTCAGTATTCAGCTTAAAGTGACTTTTAAAGGTTTAACTTGGCTTATTTGATTTAATTTGAAATGACTTGTAAAGTTAAGTAAGCTTATTTATGTGTTTGTTTATTTGTTTGTTTATTTTTTTATTTATTGAATTATCTGTTTATTCATCTGTTTATGCTATTTATTTATTTGTCTATTTATTTATTTATTTATTCATTTATTTAATTATTTATTTATATTATTATTATTATATTTATATATGTCTGTCTATCTATCTATCTATCTATCTATCTATCTATCTATCTATCTATCTATCTATCTATCTATCTATCTATCTATCTATCTATCTGTTTATGTTATCTATCTATCTACAGTGCATTTGTAAAGTATTGACAGCGCTTCACTTTTTCCACATTGTTTATGTTACAACCTTATTCTAAAATGAATTAAGTTCATTTATTTCCGCAAAATTCTACACACAATACCTCATAATGACAATGTGAAAAACAAAGTTTTTGAAAATGTTGCAAATTTATTAAAAATAAAAAACCTGAAAAATCGCATGTACATCAGTATTCACAGCCTTTGCTCAATACTTTGTTGATGCCCCTTTAACAGCGATTACAGCCTCAAGTCTTTCTGAATATGATGCCACAAGCTTGGCTCACCTGTCTTTGGGAATTTTTGCCTGTTCCTCTTTGCAGACCTCTCAAGCTCTATCAGGTTGGATGGGAAGTGATGGTGTACAGCCATTCAGATTTCTCCAGAGATGTTAATAGGATTTAGGTTTGGGCTCTGGCTGGGCCACTCAAGGACATTTCCCGAGGTATTGTGAAGCCACTATATTGATATTTTGGCGGTGTACTTTGGGTCATTGTCCTGCGGAAGATGAACCGTTGCCCCAGTCTGAGGTCAAGAGCGCTCTGAAGCAGGTTTTCATTCAGGATGTCTCTGTACATTGCTGCATTCATCTTTCCCTCTATCCTGACGAGTCTTCCAGTTCCTGCTGCTGAAACACATCCCCACTGCATGATGCTGCCACCAACATGCTTCACTGCAGGGATGGTATTAGCCTGGTGATGAGCGCTGCCTGCTTTTCTCCAAACGTATAGGCCTGACATGCACTCCAAAGAGTTCAATTTGAGTCTGATCAGTCCAGAGAATTTTCTTTCTTATGGTCTGAGAGTCCTTCAGATGCCTTTTGGCAAATTACAGGCAGGGAGAGGCTTCCGCCTGCCAACTCTACCATACAGGCCTGATTGGTGGATTGCTGCACAGGATGGTTGTCCTTCTGAAGGTTCTCCTCTCTCCACAGAAGAATGTTGGAGCTCAGACAGAGTGACCATCGGGTTAATGATCACCTCCCTGACTAAGGCCCTTCTCCCCCGATCACTCAGCTTAGATGGCCGGCCATCTCTAGGATGAGTCCTGGTGGTTCCAGACATCTTCCACTTACGGATAATGGAGGCCACTGTGCTCAATGAAACTTTTAGAGCAGCAGAAATTCAGAGCAGCAATCCTGTCTCGGAGGTCTACAGACAATTCCTTTGTCTTCATGCTTGGTTTGTGCTTTGACATGCACTGTCAACCCTGGGACCTTACATAGACAAGTGTATGCCTTTTCAATGTCCAATCAACTGAATTGACCACAGGTGAACTCCAATGAAGCTGCTGAAACATCTCCAGAATGATAAGTGGAAATAAAATGAGCCTGAGCTCAATTTAGAGCTTCACGACAAAGACTGTCAATACTTCTGTACATGTGATTTTTCAGGATTTTTATTTTGAATAAATTTGCAGCAATTTCAAAAACTCTTTTTTCACATTGTCATTATGGAGTATTGTGTGTAGAATTTTGAGTAAATAAATGAATTTAATCCATTTTGGAATAAGGCTGTAACATAAAAAAAGGTGGAAAAAGTGAAGCGCTATCAATACTTCCCGGATGCACTGTATCTGAATATTTACTTTTCAACCTAACTGAGCTGCAGACACAGCAGAAACCCAAATAGCAACTCAAACAAATCAACAAAAGTGAAAATGGCATCCAATGTCACCTTTTAAAGTATTCAGTAGTTCTGTAGGCAGTAGGTTAGTATTCAGTCCACCATGTTGCTGTTGCATACAGTAAACCGAGTTCAGCTGTGGTGATGGCAGCATTATAACTGCTATAATCCTGTGCGCGCAATGTACACAGAGTTTAATCTAGGAAGTGTCAGCTGTATCACTCCAGTTGCTTATTCATTCTTGTGCAGTCCAACGTTGAAGCCAATTCGCAGCCACTTTCAATTATTTTGAGAGACACCAGGGAAAATAGCGTTTGAAGGGGGAGGAACAATAACAGGTGCTCAAGGTTAAGAGAACAGCAGCGACACCAGCGTACCGCGGTGTGAAGCTGGAAAGTGTCACTGTCATGGAGCCAAGAATCTGAGAAAGAAAAGCTCCTTATTTCAGGATATGGTGTGGACTGGATTACAGTATGCATTCTGTGTGATTTACTGTTGGACAATAGAAAAAACACAGTTACATCACAATTGTGAGTGGTGTTGTGTAGATGGGGAGTTGTATAGATTATAGGGAGGCAAATAAATACAGTAAAATACAATACAAATGGCAAATATATACGTGTTAAATGCTACATGTGTCTGAACTGATGCATAAAAAGAGACTTAAATCAATATTAATGAGCAATAAAAGTGAATTATGAAAATATACACTCATTGGTCACTTTATTAGGTACACCTTACTAGTACTGGGTTTTTGCCTTCAGAACTGCCTCAATCCTCATAGCATAGATTTAACAAGGTACTGGAAATATTCCTCAGAGATTTTGCTCTCTATTGACATGATGGCATCACACAGTCGCTGCACATTTGTCGGCTGCACATCTAAGATGTGAATATCCTGTTCTACCACATCCCAAAGGTGCTCTATTGGATTGAGGTCTGGTGACTGTGGAGGTCATTTGAGTACAGTTAACTCATTGTCATGTTCAAGTAACCAGTCTCAGTCTCAATCTCTGTCTATCTATCTATCTATCTATCTATCTATCTATCTATCTATCTATCTATCTATCTATCTATCTATCTATCTATCTATCCATCTATCCATCCATCCATCCATCCATCCATCCATCCATCCATCCATCCATCCATCCATCCATCCATCCATCCATCCATCTATCTATCCATCTATCCATCTATCCATCTATCTATCTATCTATCTATCTATCTATCGTTCCATCCATCGTTCCATCTATCGTTCTATCTATCATTCTTTATATCTGTCCGGAACAGCTTAAATGCCAACTGTACAATTACTTTTGGACCCTTAACAAGCGGGAGGCTTGTGATTATTGTGATGTGGCACAACAGTTGTAATTCCTACAGCGTTCACCAGATTTAATTGTAAATACCATACTATATATATAAATATGCACTAGTTAAGAAGCCACGTTGGTCCATGATGAGACGGATTGGAAAGCAGAAATCCGAATCCTTCACTTTATTTTCCTGAAAATGTCTTTAAAATTGAACAATTTGATGAATGATTTACAGACCTGTGTGTGTTGTAGGGTCAGTTCCGATATGCACTGCAATATTCTGTACAGTTGTGCACAGCTCTACCTAAAGGGAGTTTATGTTTGTTGTAAATAAGGGTGTGTTTATTCTTTTGCACGATGCTGGGAATAAATTAGGATTGCAAAGAGCAAATGCAGTAAACATGTGAAACATACATATTCAGTGTCTTGTACTCGGATACCTCACTAAATGCAGTGATGTCTCACTTTACTGTAGTCTTTAAATGGCTGTGCAAATAGTATATAGTGATGTCTTGAGCATTTTTAGAAAGAGTTACCAAAATCTGACTTTTTTTGCATTGAAAAAATGTAGAGTATACAGTCATAATAAAAACATGACAAAGCCATTTGACTATCTTGTTCATAAACAATGGTGTCAGGACTTTTCATTTTGACGATACTGACACTTTGATTGACATGAATACTTGCTTTTGAGGAATGAGCTCTCCATTTTAAGCATGTGATGCGCTTTTGCAGGTTATCAGCTAGGTTTTGCAGTTTGTACTAATTGTTTTAAGAAT